TCCGCAAAGGAGATAAACATACGTAAAACACTGAATCTAACAAGCACTATCACTGAAACAGCCAACCATGATCTTGCATGTCTTACTCTTTGTAATAGCTGCACATCTGCAAAGTCTCTCCCGCACTTTTGTCTTTTATTTTAAATACCCGAAAAAAGTATTAAAGGAGGCTCAAAAACGACCTAAAAAGGTAAACCCTGAGAGAGGGAAAGAAAGCTTATAAGAAGAGTAACAACAAAGAAATGAAGGCGAAAATTAGCTCACTTCAGTAAGATATCATAAGTTTATCGATTTTAAATGTAATGCTGAGAATTCTGACGAACTTACCGAAGGAGTTACCAAACCTGTGGTAGTTGTAGATTCACTTGGTAATTGATTCAATTTCAACTCGGCTTTACCGTCCCCATTCTGAGCCAGTCGGGCAACAATATGGTCACTCAATAACGAGGCTAACTTGTACGCGTATCGTAATTCAGTCCAACTGAGCATATCGATGATGAGTTGTGCCAACCGGACCTGACACGGTTTAGTGTTCCTAGTGAAAAAATCCGCAACAGGCTTACATTAGCTTGATACACTTCCAAAGGACTGCGGATCTGGATCGATCCGTTTGCCCAGCTATCGAAATACGTATTTGTTCTCAGCGAATTGTCCAACTCGGATGTATCGGTCGCAGAAATCATACTTGCACTCTCGTTAGTGCAATGGAGATGGCAGTCACTCACACAGTAGTGTGCGTGTGATTCTAACACTTGTGATACGGAAATAACACTATCCGAAGTTTTAAATCCGGCTGCCCTTTATCGCACTCGGCCAAGCACAATAGTCGCACCTGCAAGCTGACAGACAGACAAGCAGATCGATAAACGAATCGATTTGCGAATAATCGATTCGGACAACTGACAGCTCGAGGCTGGGAAAGGTGATAAGATCCTCATTGCTGTTGCAAAGACTTTATGACTATTATGCTATTCATTGGAGGAATTCAAGCAGATTACCGTCATCCCTAATTACCTGTACACAATCAGTAGTGAAACCAAGCTAAACTAATTTTCATATATACATATTTTAACATATTCTGTAAACTATAATTTCACCATAAATATATTTTCGCCATACATAATGATTTATGAAAAGATTTGAAGCATAAAACACATTTTTTAGGTTATCTAGAAGCGAAATCCGATTAAATACAAGCATTTTAAAATATAATAATTTTACCAAACCTCATATTGCTTCGCTCTCAATAATTTCAATTTTTTCGATTGCTCAAACAGTTGAATCAAAACTCATTGTCAGTATAATTAACTGATCGACCAAAATAACAAACTAGTACAGTTGATCGGATCGTGGGATGAGTTTGGAAATTCCAGACTGTTCATTAAAGCTAACCATCTCACCAAATGTTACAGAGAATTACCGAGAAAGAGACTATTTTGTTATTAGGTATTTTGTTTGGGAAGAAAGTGAATGGTTACTACGATTACTTCACTCTAATATTGTTATGATCAATGCTGGTATGGAGCATGGTTCTTGTGTTGTTTGCCTATCAGTGTTCGACAAGCATCTGTAGTTATGATGCTTGGCAACCGCGATTAAGCAATGCCATACGATAATCATAGGGCATGGTGATGCGAACTGCGATCACGAGAAGAGGGAGAAGGGTAACGGAGATTGGTGAATGAACGAAGAAATGGATCGAACGAAAAGTGCATGTCTAATGATCGACAATGACACGTGAGGGAGAGGCAACTAGACAGATTTGTAGTTGAAAACGTGTGAAGGGTAGGGA